CATGTGCCTGTAGTCCCAGCTACTCAGGAGGCTGAAGTTGGAGGATCACCTGAGCTGGGGGAGGTGGAGGCTGCAGTGTGAACCGTGATTGCAGCATTGCACTGCAGCCTGCGTGACAGAGTGAGGCCCTGTCTCTAAATAAATAAATAAAGGCATAGCTGAGAAGTGTAGCATCATTCATGAAATAACAAGTGAGCATGATTAATAAATCAACATTTAAAAATAAAATGAAAAAAATTAAAAATTTAGTGAGTTCGGGCCGGGCACGGTGGCTCACGCCTGTAATCCCAGCACTTTGGGAGGCCAAGGCAGGTGGATCACAGGGTCAAGAGATCGAGACCATCTGGTCAACATGGTGAAACCCCGTCTCTACTAAAAATACAAAACGTTAGCTAGGCATGGTGGCGCGTGCCTGTAATCTCAGCTACTCAGGAGGCTGAGGCAGGAGAATTTTCTGAACCCAGGAGGCGGAGGTTATGGTGAGCCGAGATCGCGCCATTGTACTCCAGCCTGGGTAACAACAGTGAAACTCCATCTCAAAAAATAAAAATTAGTTCAAGGTTGATTACGTGGATGGTTCAGCATGAGACGTAGAATAAAATGGAAACTTGTAGATCAGTTAGTAAAATAAAATCCTTTGGGTCCTTTTCAGTGGGTTTTGCGTTTGAGGGAAGTAATCACCAGGAGGGCTTTGCTGGTCACTGTGCTCATAGTTTGTCACTGCATGGCTCTGAGTGGAGCCTGAGAATTTGCAGTCCTAACTCGTTCCCAGGTGATGCTGCTGCTGCTCCAGGAACCAGGCTTTGAACAATCGCAGGCCTGTTTCATTTCATTACTCTTACATGCACACTACAACTTTATGCCTCAGTTTCATATAGTTAATGCAAGGACAGACCATAAATCCTACTCAGGCAGAGAGAAGCAGGATATTGCCCAATCATGGCTGCAAAAAGAATTAGGGGAAATACACATCACCCATCTGTACAGTTTTCACCTCACTCTTATCCTGACTTTGGTGTCTGTGACTAGCCAGTCTCTTGCGTCTCCTTGTGGGGATATCAAAATTAGGCTCTCTGTAACCTGACTTTTGTTGACTTGGTTCCTCTCCTGACATTGTCCCTTCCCTGTGGAAGCTACAGGAACCTTCACTCAAATATGCCTACTGCTGTTCATGCCACTGTGCCCTCGCATAAACGTCCTCTGTTAACTCACTGCACATGTGTATTCTTCCTCAAGACCCGTCAGTTGCCACCTCCTGTTTAGTATCTTCCTGTCTTCTCTGTCTTCCCTGTTCTGTCTTCTTTGTGTACCTTGTACAGACTCCTGCTGTAGCCCTTCACATACTGTGTTACCGTTTGTGACATATACAGTCCCCTTCCTATTATGTGAGCATCTCTGGGGCATCAGCCTTACCTTCTACAGTTTCGTGGTCTCTGTTCCTAGCCCACATGTGAGCAGATATTTATGGAATGTTTGTCCACAGTATATATGTATGGACTGCACGATGGAATCATTTAGTGGAAACATTCCAGATTCCTCAGTCCATAAAAATGAATAGGATGCAATCACAACCAATAACAAGAATGCAGAGAGCTCAAATAACTGATATTTGGAAGAGAGTTGCAGTCATGCTACAAATAAGAGCATAATGAGAAGGCCTGAGATTTCCATTACCTCATTGCTCTGTATCACGGTGAAGTCCACATGTGGCTCTACTTACATTAATCATCTCAGAAGAACCGAAGTATTATTTGTCTAGTAATGAAAAGCAATTTGCTGATACCAACGCAGGGACATGAATAGATATCACAAAATAGTTATCCATAAGCATCTGTCATCTTCATTATATTTTGGTCACAGTGATAGATTATCAAATGAATTAGAGGAACAGAATTAGTTTGAATCCTCAGCTCTAACATAATCACTTGGGAAAATATTTGCTGAGTAAAAAGATTATGAGAATGAAAACTTCTATTTACCTAAAAAAGAGTAACTGCAGAATCCTAATCACCTAGAATGTTTCAAAATCCACTGTCCGCAGGCCCATGAGCTCAGTTGCTATGTGTACTTTCAAATGCATTGCATACCACTTCTATCCTACACACAGATTTTTTAAATTATGTGGCAAGGGACGAAGAGATGGCGCTTTAAGATGAAGGAAATGGGCAGTATTTTTTTTTTTTTGAGACGATCACTGCAGAGTGGAACTATTTACGGTGTGGGTCACGGAAAGGCAGCACTTGTTCTGAAGAAATGTCAGCGCTAGAGTTTTGTGAGATTGCTTTAATGGATTTTTTTCTTCTTTTTTATCCAACTTTGCCAGGATTAAAGCAATGTTGTTACAGCAGGAGGAGCAGCAGGGCCACTGTGGGGTCTGTGAAAGGACGGGTGTCACTTAGTGCCTGCTGTTGGCTGCTTCTCCGGGAATCCTGGTTTCCTATATCTCACTCTATCGGCGCACCTCCCTCTCGACTCTGACCACCTTTCTCAGACTCCTGAACTGGTTTCATCTTTCTTCCTCTTGCCTCTGGGTGTCCCTCAGGTACTGTTCTTAACCTCCAGCTCCTTCCTGTATATACTCAGTTAGGTATTACCAAATGCCCCTGGGACATTTTCATTTAGATGTTCAGCCTCAAAAAGAAAAAAAAAATTCCTGCACTGAGCACATTGCACATCTACCTGAAACCCACCTCCCTTTCCAGATATTTTCTCTAATTTGCACGTGCTGTGATCAGACCCTCCCTGATGCCTTTGCTCTTGCCTAGAATGCCCCCCACCATCCCCCATTCTAGTATACAGCTCTTAAACGCTAATGCCTGCAGAAACGAGGAGAGGAATTGGCAGGTGTGATGCTGGCTGGAAATGGGGTACACAATGGCCACTGACCTTGGCCTCAGTGTCGGGGAGCAGTAGAGCCTGTGGGGACAGGGAAGGGCTGGAGATCTGGTGCAGCAGCAGTCCTTTCCATGTCAGTGTGTAGGCCCAGTGTTACCAGATTTCTGTATTTTAAATGAGAATTCAGAGTATGTTTGTTTTTAATTGCCTGATTTTGGCCAGGTGCCATGACTCA